TTGGTAAATTTCGCTGTAATCCCTTGTTTTGGACCTTCTGTATTCTCTGCCCTTTGGGCTTTGAGTGGAAATCAGGTTGTCGACCAAAAAAAAAAAAAACAAACCTATGTAATATTTTCTCATAATCTATAGACCCAAAGATAAAAAAATATCCATATAACTCTGACAATGAAGTATAGTCGAAACTAAATTCTGCCATGTTAAACATAAAATACATTAAAAAAATGATAAACAACGAATATTAAAAAGTAGATTGAAAGTATTTTCAACAAATTCATTACATTTAGGCCATGGGCATAAATACTCATTACTGGATTTGTATCTGCTACTCGCCTTAAAAAAACAAGTATTTGTTCCGGTCGAATCGAGTAACAAGTCAACATATGACATTACTTGCAAGTACGAGATAAGTATCAAGTCAGTAAAATTTTATTACTATTTAGCCATTTACTCGGTTTATACTCGTTTATGTTACTTGGCTTGATACCCGTTAATAATATTCATAAGAAATATTTTATACTCGTTTATATTACTTGGTATTCATTGGTCAAGATCTTTGACATTTGACGGCATAGTCAAACCAAGTCATTTTCAGGTTTACATATGTATGTGTTATGATCATTCTTAGAACTGTTATATGGTTTAATGGTTTTATAGGCAAACAAAAATACTATGATGTGGAGCATTGAACCAAAAAGTTTTTTTTTTAAATGCTTATTTTTGGAACTTTAATGTTTTGTGATTTTAAGATGTTTGTACTTTGAATGTTCTGTAATTTGTATGAATATTATTTTTATATTTAAGTATTTTCAAGTAGCAAGTATATAATTTTGGCAAGTAACAAGTCGAGTCGAGTTAGATGCAAGTAATAGGATTTTGGACGAGTACTTGATATAGCAAGTACTTGTTTTGGACGAGTTAAATATCAAGTCGAAGTTTTTGTTACTTGAACAAGCCAAACCGCCACAAGAACTTGAAAATTAGCAAGTACTCGGTCCGTGCCCAGACATAATTACCTTTGTTCAATAAAATAAACCAAACATAATTAATTTTACTTTTAAATTCAATAACTTTTTCACTTAACCGAATAGGAAAAGAAAAAAATCAATCAAACCGAATGGTAAACCAAATAAATGACCATTGCTGCCCTGAAAAGCTCTTTCAACCTTTTAGGTCGAGACTAGTCGTCATATTAGCTACGTGTAAACTAAATCACTTTCTTCTCTTTCACTCTATATAATCTATCTCTACAAACTTTTAGGAACAGAATATTCACCCAAACAAACAAAAAAAGAAAAAGATTTTAAGAGAAGTGAGAAAAAAAGTGGTAAACCATGGAGAAGTATGAGATGGTGAAGGATTTGGGATTTGGTAATTTCGGATTGGCTCGGCTTATGCGTAATAGACAAACAAACGAGCTTGTGGCTGTCAAATTCATCGATCGAGGCTACAAGGTCCATATAATCCTTTGTTTGTTTGTTTTAGTTTTCTCTAATAGTATTGTGACCAATTTTTTTTTTTTCTCTAATAGTACTAATTAAGAACTTTAATGTTATTGCCAAACTGATTGTTTGATGCAGATAGATGAGAACGTTGCTAGAGAAATCATCAATCATAGATCTCTTAACCATCCCAATATCATTCGGTTTAAAGAGGCAAGTGAAATTTTTTATCTTTTGTTTCTTTCTTTAAATTCTTATAACTCGTCTAGTGTTTGAGATTAGACTTGGATTCTACCAAAATTCCTTCTTTTTTTAATTACTACCAAAATTCTTTATAACTTTTTGTGGTGATATTTATGTTGGACTATTCGGTCTAGTGATTTACTAGAAAATGCTTCAATATTCAACCACACAATTAGTCGGAAACAATAGAAATTTGGACACTTTGATACTGATAATTTCTACTAAAAAAATTGTGGTTTCATTATGATTTAGGTTGTTCTAACTCCAACACATCTTGGAATTGTAATGGAGTACGCAGCTGGAGGAGAACTGTTTGAACGAATATCAAACGCCGGTCGATTCAGTGAAGCTGAGGTTTGGAAATATAATTCATTTTTTTGGGGGGTCAATTGCATGTAATCTACCACTTTTTTTTCTTCTTCTTTAAAATCTTTATTTATGGTAATTAATTAATTAGTTCTACTTGCAGGCAAGATATTTCTTCCAACAACTTATTTGCGGAGTCCAATACTTACATGCAATGGTAAATTTAATACACACCAAATTTTAAATGAAATAGCTTGTTTTATAACTTACCTAATGAATTATATTTGCAGAAAATATGCCATAGAGATTTGAAACTAGAAAACATATTGCTTGATGGAAGCCCAGCACCACGTCTCAAAATTTGTGATTTTGGCTACTCAAAGGTTTTTTTTTTTCAACGATAAATATTTCAGTATTCTTACTTGCTTTATATATAGCTTAAAATCTAAATTCATAGTGTATAATAATTTATAATATTTTTTTTATACAGTCTTCTATTTTGCATTCGAACCCAAAATCAACGGTGGGAACTCCGGCATATATAGCACCGGAGGTTTTTTGTCGATCGGAATACGACGGAAAGG